TGAAAGGAAATGCAGTAAATGATAGAGAGCTTAAAAGAGCCAAATTTGAAAATAAGACAGATTTAAAGGATATCAAGGTGGAATGACTAGGTAATCTTTCTTCTTTTTTTTTTTGTTAAGGTTTTTTATTTTTCGGTATATGAAATGATGGAATTTGTACAAGAATAGATAGTTCTTTTTTTTTTTTTTAATTTTTTTTCCACTGAACTTAAAGTTTGAATTTCAGACCTTTGATTGGATCAATTTCAAAATCTTAACCAATTCTCTCTAAGGGTTTTGAATCCATGTCATGGACTGTATACTTATACTGAGATGAAATGATAGTTAAGATTGGATCGGATTTCATGTGAGGAAAAGAATTTCAAAATCCTGTTTCATATTATTACCCTTTTTCATAAAAAATGTTATGATATTATTACTAACATGTGATTTTAAAATATCTCTGAGAGGCTTCTTTTGGAAATCCCTTTTCAAATTCTCCTGCGTTCTCCCCTTCCTAAAGCATACTCTCTCTTCAATTAGACAAAAGAACATAATCTAAAAAAGGATTTTTAAACTCTTGCCGCATCTCAAATTTCTTACTAAAATTAGATTATTTCATCCAAACGCAACCTTAAGGATGGACAAAATACTAATTAAGCTAGAAGCTAAGTGCTAATCTTTCGTTCTATCATACACTTATTTTCATTGTTTTTTGACGATCATTATTTCCCCAATTCAAAATTAACTATATTTCATATATTATGTTTGGCCAGCAATATTTCATTGCTTATATATATATATGTATATATATATATATATTTATTTATTTATTTATGAAAAAGACTATGTTTGTAGAAAGCATGAGGCATGATGACAGTCAAGTATGAAGCAAAAGCTAGTTCCACTGGTGAAGAGGAGCGTTGTTCTTGCAGAGATCAGAAGCTGCTGGTTAATGTCTAGCTACTAGTTTGTTGAATTGAATATAATCTTGTGTGTAATTTATTTTCTAAGCTATGCTATGCAACTTGTTATGTGATGATTGTGATCTTTAAGGGTTCTGAATGTTGTCTTTAGAGGAGTGTGAGTAGCTTTCTAGTTGTTCAACATGATCAAAGGATTGAATATATTGGGTATATATGTATCTGAATGAAAGTTTCTTGGTGCTTGATGAGAAAGTGCTTGTGCAGTGGATGTTCCAATATGCCTTCCTGGAGTGTTGGGCAGAAGGTCAATCATGAGGATGAGGGGTTCAGTGGCTGTCCCCAAACAGCCAACAATGGCGACATGGTGCATATAGGTAAATCAGGCACAATGGCTGGGATCTCCCTTGTGGCCTTTGAGAGCTAAAAATTTCTCTATTTCTGATCCTATTTCTAGTTTATGTTTTTGTCCTTGTTTGATGCTTTTACCCGTGTGATGGAGATGTCTCGAGGTGGTTTGAGGGATGTACCATCTTTGGCTGGGTTGTTGATTATAAATTATTGCCAGTAAAAGAAAGCATTGCTTGTCTGGTGCTTTCTCTTGGACTGCCTTGGTCTGCAGGTTTGGGTTGTCTTTAGGCTCACTTTGTGGTGGCAGCTAAAAGGTTGGATTTCACGGAAATTAGCAAAGACTTTTTAGCAATTCATATCTAGCTTCATTCTGCCTCACTGATCTCCGGTTAGTAGGTGTGCCAGTATTCAAGCTAATGAGCCAGTTAGACAGGAGGGTGTCCTTCTTGATTCGACCAACAAACCTAACCACCTTTGTTTATGGCCGGTGTGTTTAGTCTTATATACGAGCCT